AAAATCGCATAACAGCAAAATCGCATAACAGCCGAGCATACACCCAGCAGCTCTGCTGATGCCTGAACGGTATGTGGAATGAAGTGGGCGGGCATCGGGAGGCCACTATGGCACGGGGCAAGCACTATGGGCAGTCTATCTGAAGTGTACCTGGCGTATAAGACGACCCCCCACTTGGAGGCATATTTTTCAGGGCCAGAAAATCGTCTTATACGCCGGCAAATACGGTATATTTTTATTGATTTCAGAGAGGAAGGGAGATAGAAACATAAGTGATAAGAAACATCAATTGGCAGCATCCTGCACGCCCCCTACTGGGGATCGAGCCCGAAACATGGGCATGGGTCCCTGACCAGAATCAAACCAGAGACTCTTCAGTCCACAGGCTGAAGCTCTACCCACTGAGCCCAACCAGCCAGGCCAATGAGTACTAATTCTTAAACAGCAGTTGAGATTTTTCTGGGGTAATGAGGCCAGGCACCAGGGGCATTCCAGAAGCAACAGGATATACAAAGCACAGAATTTTCAAACAGTTTTATGCAAACATTTTTTTTTTCTTTTTGGATGAGAGAATACTACTTTCACATTAAAATAAACAGATATGTCATGGAGTAAAATGCTAAAAGACAGATTTTTTTAAAAATATATATTTTTATTGATTTTTTATAGAGAGGAAGGGAGAGGGATAGAGAGTTAGAAACATTGATGAGAGAGAAACATCGATCAGCTGCCTCTTGCACACTCCCTATTGGGGATGTGCCCGCAACCAAGGTACATGCCCTTAACCAGAATCGAACCTGGGACCCTTCAGTCTGCAGGCCGATGCTCTATCCACTGAGCCAAACCAGTCAGGGCGACCTCTTTTTTTTTTAAGATAAAATATGAGACTTCAAAGAAATGTCCTACTTACTCATTCTTTCCCTTTTAAAATTTTTACGTATTGATTTTTTAAAGAGAGGAAGAGAGTGAGAAACATTCATTTGTTTTTCCACTTATTTATCATTCTTTGGTTGATTCTTGCATGTGCCCTAACTGGGGATTGAACCACACGTCGGCCTCTAGGTAGCTCTAACCAACTGAGCTACCTGGCCAGGGTTCTGCATATTCATTCTTTGCCCCATGCCCAGGGGACACCCATTCAAGCAACTTACACTCCGCTGATCTTAGTGGTTCTCGGTAGGTAACAGTCAAGAAAAAGCCAATAGGAAATAACTGAAATAGTAAAATAAATTCTGGAGTTCTGTAACATAAAAAGATAACTAGCACAACGCAGTTACTACAATACAGTGAAGGACTACGCTGGTTTCCCAGGGACCGAGAATTAATTTAACTACAGCATTTTCCAGTACCTGGGGTCTGCTTACATGGGGAGTCGCCACGTGCACAGAAGACAAGGCCTTCCTTGCGCTACAATGACAACCAAAGCTGCCCAAGTGAAGGCATTTCTACAAGACCACACATCAGTGACAACAAACCCAAGTTAAATACAAGTATGTACTGACAACTCAGAACACCAGAGAACATGGTCTCGGGTACAGAAGGGTGTGCTACGGAAGCAGCACTAAACGGGGTTTGAAGAATCAACATCTACCTCCCGCTGGTCAAATCCGGGTGCTATGACGTTTGTGAGGCGAATTACACTCCAAGGTTTACTCTACTGGAAGTTTGTGCAAAGATGTAATTTCTAACACATCCCTGAAACTCCAAACCTCAAGAAAAGATCAAATGTAAATGAAGGTCATCTTCCTTCTGTTGATGTTTGGCTTTGCACCTAACCTGCGGAGGGTGAAACTTTGAGATTTACTTCTGGAACGCTCACCACGATGGCTGCGCCTTTCTTCCCCCAAGTGGTCGGTCTTCACACCGTCAGGCCAAGCGTTCTGCTCCCTCCCCAGGATTTGCCACAGCTGCAGTCCCGGGATCGGAAAGGTGTGCAGGCCGGGGTTACCTGGCTGGAAGGCGGGGAGCGAACTTTCTGGGCCCAGACTCTCCCGCCTGCTGTTAACCGCGAACCCCAAATCCCACCTCCTCCTTGCCCTACTATGAGAAAATGTGAGAAAAGGGGGCTCATTCCATTGCTTCCTGCAAGAAAAGGAAACCTACTACCCCGTCTGTCACAGCGCGCAACCGAGAAGCATCACACACCTATAGCACCTTATTGCCAGGGGTCCCGCCCAGGCCGGAAGCTGGCCCGCTCCTTCCTTAGACGTCCCGGAAATACGGGGCTTCCGCCAAGGATGTCCCGCCCACTCCCCTAGTTCACAGCTTTCTAGAATATGCCTGCTTACCCCAATTTTTTTCTCGTCATAGCAATGAGAACCTCTTCGTGTGGCGTCCTTCCTTGTTCTTCGCTTGTAAGTCTCGCGTGATCTTCGAGCGCTGAAACCGTTTTCACGGATGCAGGCGCTTTGGCAGCCTTGCAGTCTTGACGTCTATCTGCGCGCCGACAGCGGAAGGACCCCGTCCTCCTGCATCCGCTTTAGGCTCCGCCCCGGACGCGGCGCGCTGATCGCAGAAGAGGCACATGTCCTACTGAATGGAGCTGGTCGCAGGTTGTTACGAGCAGGTCCTTTTTGGATTCTCTGTACGCCCGGAGCCCAAGGCGAGCGGCGACCACCAGGTAAAAGCCGGGGCGCCGAGGGACCCCGGGAGGCGTGGGCGGGGAAGGTCAGGTCTTGGTTCCTGCACGGCCGAGGTAAACACTAAACCAGAGGTGAACACACCGTCTGATTTCTTAGGGATTAATTGACGAATCAAACTCAGGAGACTTCAGTATAGGTTAGCTTTTTAAAACATGGAGTCGGCATTTCATAAAACGAGATACTGTCTGTTTTGGTAGATATTTTTTTACCACGGTACACAAGGAAAGCAGGCATTTCTGCGAACGGGCAAATGAGTCGTAGATGATGGATTTAAGGGTCGCTTTCATAAATTGACAGCCAGTTTAGGTGTTCCCTCTTGCACTGAATTTCTGTCCTGGAGTTTTACAAAATATTAGAGCCGGCTCTAGATGATACTAACTCATTATTACTGGATCTGTACTGTGGGGCCATTGCTTGCAGTGAAGGTGCAAAGAAGCCCAGGGTATGGAGCCTGCGCCAGAGACCTTCCCGACAGAAGCGGAGAGGACTGGGAGACAAATGTATGGAGGGAAATTACAACAAAATACAAGTATTTTACTAGATGTATGAATAAAAAGTTAGTAGTAAAACAGGTAATCGGGATATACCCAGGAGTAAAAAGATCTTTTAGTCCAGCACTCTTTTCCCCCCTAATCACTCTTCTAAGTATCTCTTCAAAACCTGTTTCATTGAGTGGTGTTTGTTTTTTTTTAATCTTTACTGTTGAAAGTATTACCTGTGTTCCTCTTTCCCCCATTGACCTCTCCTAGCCTGTCACACCCCCCACCCCAGGCCTTCACAAACCGATTGTCTATGTCCATGGGTTATGTACACACAAGTTCTTGGTTGATCTCTTCCCACCCACCTGTATCTGCCTTCCCTCTGAGATTCCACAGTCGGTTCCATGCTTCTGTGCCTCTGAATCTATTTTATTCATCAGTTTATTTGGTTCATTAGATTCCATATATGAGTGAGATCATGTGATACTTGTCTTTCTCTGGTTTATTTGCTTAGCATAATGCTCTCTAGGTCCCTCCATGCTGTCTCAAAGGGTGAGAGATCCTTCTTTTTTAAAGCTGCATAGTATTCCATGGTGTAAATGTACCACTTCTTTTTTATCCACTCATCTATGGATGGGCACTTAGGCTTTTTTCAGATCTTAGCTATTGTAAAT